CAGTATCAAAAAGGGATAGTGAAATGTAAATGGCTGAGAACATGGGGTCTGTACTGTTACAGGAAGAATATAAAGAATCCTTCCCTTCCCTTCTGTTCTTCCTTAACTTGTTCATAGTTAAATCTCTAAGGAGTCCTTGCAGTGACCATCCCATTTACAGGAAGAGATGTGTTTTTAGTTCTCTAGTTCTGTGATGCTATTTTTAACTGATCCGGGCAGAGGAAAGTTCTTTTGTTCAGGCAGATAAATACAGCATTTACTGTGTTCTGACAGACGTGGCACCAAGCTTTCTTCGGTTTCTTATTTGGCACAGCAAGTTGAAGTCAGAATATTTAAGTAGTTTTAGAGCTTGCTTTGAGGTCTGGACTTAAAGGATAAGGACAAATGTTCAAGTCTGTCTTAATACAATGTTCACATGCCATATGTACGTTAAAAGACCTCCTGCTGTAAGGGAAACCCTATGGTCCTGGAGATGAAGCGACAAACATATCTAAGCTATCTTTTCACCTCGCCAGTCTGATGTCTCCATATCCTCTACTTTTGTCTATATCCAGACATTTCTTCTTCTTCAGTAGCACTGACATGCTAGCACAAGAAGCACTGAGCATTGTGGTAGCAAATCTATGAACCGAATGCCTTTTCTTTCTCGCCAGACTTCAGTGAAGCGAGGTCCATGTGATTCCTGCCTGTGCTGAGATTTCCGCCCAGCTACAACTGTTTCTCAAAAACATGTGCGCCTACTTTCAGGTCACATTTGGACAGACCTTTCTACCTGGGCTACTCTTGCCTAGATTTACACTTTAAAGTAATTTTCTTGGGAGAATTCTGTTGGAAGTTTTATTTGAAACTAGTCTGTGTTACCAAACGGTTTTCATGGCTGCTGTACCTCAGGACCTTTTGTTGTGCCTTTTTTTTTCTTTTTTTTTTTTAATCTTCAGTAACACTGGATCAGATCTCTACTTCTTCTGGTCTAGTTTCAGGTGCATTTCTGTTTCTTAAATGGTTTTAAGAGCTTGGTGTTTGCCGCTGTTTGTTAATGAAGTATTTGACTGTGCAGATCATAAGCAGTGTTAGCTTTGCAATAAAGCTTTTGGGGTTTCCCAAGTCGGAATTTAGTTAAATACATTTATTCATTTTCTTTCCAAAAGTGAGATGAAAAGAATGGCACCAATATCACGTCTCTGTGTTACAGAGCTAGAGCTGGGGCTTGTTTAGCCTAGATTATCAAAGACACACAAAGAAAGAGCTATCTTAGCTTTGTTTAAAGTTTAAAAACATGCATACTAACACTATTAACATGTGGACATACACAAACAGAAATGTAAAAAATGGCAGTTTGACAGGGCATGGTGTAATCTTTTTTTGACCAGTTTATCTGTTAGCCCAGTAGCAGCATTTCTGGCTCTTTATATTTATATTTCTGTTTAAGTATGGGTTAAACAAACAAGATATGTGTTAGTCTGTCAGTATCAGAGCTGTTAGCTGTATTTTTTCCGATTTGACATTGTTTCCCTCTGTTTCTAGTCTTTATACTAAGCTAGGCTAACCACGTCCTGACTCCAGCTTTGTATCGATTTTCACATCTGTCAGAAAGAATTTGAATAAGCACATTTCCCAAAATATTCAACTGTGCTTCTACCTGGCAGAATTTGGGGTTCTGCTAGATTCTAAGCCAAATTCTGTATTTTTATTTTTTTTTTTGCTGTTGTTTTTTTGTACTACAAAAACACATTTGCTGAGCTGCCTTTTAATCTCCGTGTGTTTTCATCCCTTTTTTCTTGATGCATTAATGAATTTGTTAGTATAAGGTTCACATATATGATCACATGTATTAGTTCTCTGCATGGGCAGTGGTTTAATTTTGTACCCCTGACAGTAGAAACATCTGTCTGGCTTTATTTGAGACAGAGTCAGACTTTCAGGCATGGCTTCACCTCCCTGTCAGTTCCCGGTATTTTTTGGATACCTTTACTGAAAGAGTTCTAATTCAGCCGGGGTTTCCTATCATTTGTTTTTATTTTCTGCTGTCGGCCTGTAGCTGTTAAGCAGCCAATCACAGGACAATGGCAAAATCACTGTCATTTTGAAATTGCTGAAAATAGTAATTGTATGAAAATTTCTCATCCTGTTACTTCAAATGCTCCCCAAATAATTTTCTCACTCAGTGTGTCACTTTTTACTCGCTGGTTTTGCATGACATCCTCCAAGCTGATCTCAGTTGCAGCATATTATGGTTTTACTTGTTTTACAAATTAATTTTAGTTCAGAATGTCTTATTAAAATGCTGCGTTGATGTTCTCTGAGTTTTCTTTGTACAGTTGATGCATTTTTAGTAACTTTTTGTTAATTTTTGGCTGGCTACAATGAAAGGGGAACTGAGCAGCAGGTGGGAATTGTGAATAAATTTTTTTGACTTGCTTCTTTCATTCTTGTTCAGTGAACTCGCTTTAGCAGATAATCTCAGTAGCTTTATAAGTGTGCTTTTGATTTATTCATTATTATCCATGGTGAGATGTATTAACTATTTACACTACATAATAATCTTCCCTTAGCTTCTGAGCTGATAAGTGGTCTTTCTTAACACAGATAAGACCTCTGAGTAACATTTGCCAAATGTAATGGGATTGCATAAAGCAGTTATATAACTGGATGTTTCAAATTCCCTGATCAAATTCAAAGTTAAGCTGCGTTAAATGAATTCAGTTCTATTTTATTTATATAGTGCCAATTCATAACAAGTTATTTCATTGCATTTTTCCTATAGAGCAGATCTATAGACCATACTCAATAATTCACACCATGCACTTGGCAACAGCATTCTTGATCAGCTGGAGAGTCTTAAGGGACTAATTCAGAAAAATCAGTAATCCAGCCTAGAAGTAACACAGGCAGGGAGTAGTTTATCTGCATCATTTTGAGAGGATAGTCCTGGTTTTTGCAATATTACGTGGGTGAAAAATTTTGTTCCTTGAAGTTTGTTTTACGTGGGAGTTAAAGGACATATCCTGATCAAAATTAACTCAGATATTCCTTACAGTGGTGCTGGAGGCCAGGGCGATGCCATCTAGAGTAACTATATCTTTAGATAAGGCATCACGGAGTTGTTTGGGGCCAAGAACAATAACTTTGGTCATCCTTCATGTCCTGAAGACGCGCTTGAAGTTTAGCAAACTAATTAAATTCATCTGGCTTGATAGAAAAAAATGAGTATCATCTGCATAACAATGAAAGTTTTTGAAGTGTTTCCTGATAATATTGCCTAAATGAAGCATAGTTAAGGAGAATGGGATTGGTCTAATCACAGAACCTTGTGGAACTCTATGACAAACTCGACATGCATGGAGGATTCTTGTTAACATGTACAAAATGAGATCTATCTGATAAACCAGCTTAGAGTGGTGCCTTTAATTCCAATTATATGTTCCTGCCTCTGTAATAGGATGTGATGGTCACTGGTGTCAAATGCAGCACTAAGATCTAACAACACAAGTACAGAGACAAGTCCTTTGTGTGATGCAATTAGATGCAGTTCGTTTTACAGCTGCTTCTGAGTTTGAAGATAAGTCAGTACCAACTGATGGCAGGAGATGATGAATTCAGTCTCTAATAATTACAATTTTATCATTAAAGAAGTTCATGAAGTTGTCACTACTGGGGGTGTTAATAATACATTGCTCAATAGAGCTGTGACTCTCCGTCAGCCAATCTACAGTGCTGAAAAGGAACCAGTGGTGGTTCTAATTTTCCTCTATTAATGGCCAATAGGCTATTCTAATTTAACAGGACAATATGATGCTGCGTTCTGTGATAAAATTCTCTCTTAGCCTATATACATTTTCCCGATACCTCAGAGGTTTGAACACTAAAATGTTTCAGTGGTTAATGAATTAGTCATTCATAAAATATTTGTCCTATAAATCGACTGTTGATAGGCACAAAGTATTGTTTTTTATGGAATGTGATGTGCTTGGAAATGTAGGAGGGGTGATTAATGCCACAAAGCAGAGGCATGACGGCTTCCCACTGCACTTCCTGCTACCTCACATTCTCTTCCTTCGCATGCTTCCTTCTCCTTTTCCCTCTTTATTTTATCTATCCACTTTTCTTCTTCTCTATTTGCATATTCCTCTTTCCTCTGTCATAGTCTTTGTACAGCTTATTTTCTCTTTTTCTTGCTTTTGCCTTTTCCATCTCTTGGTTCCCATCCCAAGTTTTTGCTCATCAGATTCTGTGGTCTACCTTTTCTTCTGCTTCATTTGATATGTCTGCTTCTCCTCCCATTCCTATTTTAGCTTCTAGCATTTTGTCACCCTTTTTGTCATTTCCTAGCACAAATATGCCATCTTGTCAGATGAATTAATTAAATAACTTTGATGTCAGTAAGAAAGCTTGTTGCACAGAAAAAAGTATCCCCTCAGGGAAATTTTAATAGATAAAACCCGACTAGAATACTTTTTAATTTAAATTCATATTTTACTGTGGGGCAAGAATAGCCATCACTGACAACTAAAAGTAACTTTCTAGAAATAAACAAACAAAAAAAAGTCATATCTACAAATGATGATGATACTGCAGCTCAGCTTTAGGGTTTGGGAGCACTTTATATATGTCATCATGTTCATCATCTACGTCAGACTTCTAGCTGACTGAATGCATCATGCCAAATGCTGGATGTAGATTGAAGTCACTTAGCAAAACTTTGTTGCGGTAATGCATTTGAGTCTGTTTATTGATTTGAGAATTCAGTGCTGTAGGCTACGTTGTAATTCTCATGTTTAATTTTTTCTATTGTAGAGCCCTTAAGGACATGTTTTGATGCGGGGCTGTATTAATGTAAAAGGTCAGGTCAAAACAAAATAGTGAAAAACAACAACAGTGGAACAACATGTTAAGCAGGTCCCTTAAAGCCTCTTATACCTGCTGTTGCCTCTCCTTTACCTGCTCCTCTGTGGCACTAGTCACCCCCCATACACAGATCACAAGTTGCGTCCAGACACAGCAGAAGAACTTGTGGAGGTCTCTGCCACCACCTGGCGATGGATGAAGAGAAATAAGGAGCAGAGGAGCTTCTGGATCCGAGTCTGTGCTCCGATGTATCTCTCTCTCCCCCCTCTCACCATGAATGAAAACATCATCCTCAGGTATGCCTCCTAACCCTCAACTGCGCTCCAGCGACCGGCAGCAGCAACAACTACTACAACCAGAGCCGGCCGATACATTCTCTGTCTCATAATCTCGGATGAATGGAACAAACACATTATAGCCACAGGAAAATCAGTGCTCTAATTTAACTGACAACTTCAAGGATTCAAAAGAAGTGATTAAAGAAACCTCAGCCATGGCGACAATAGGGGATTTTGACCCACTCAACTCCACCGTACCTGCGACAAAAATTGAAATCACAGTTTCCTGCAGGTAAGCACCGCAAACATGTTAACCCAGTACTCACTTGTCGTTCATCGTTTTGCATTCACATATTTGCTCATTTTTAGGTGCTAAGTATTTAAGTACATTTTCTCGTCGTGATTTTTGAAGGGTTTCTGATCTGCTTCTGCTAGTTTCGTGCCATTTTCTGATCATCTTTGACTTTTACTCATGTTAATCAGTAGGCTACTGTGTGTCTTTAACGTGCATGGAGTAACTATTTTTTCCTAAGGGGGAATTTGCATGTGCTGTGGGTGTAGAAGTGCGTGGGGTGCGGTAACCAACAGTACCAGGATTTATTCTGAGTGCCTTGGAGAGCTCCGGAAAGCGCAACTCTGAGATCACATGAATGCGTGGATATTAAATATGCCAACTGACAACACATAAAATAGAGAGAGACAGCACTGATTCTGTTTTGAACAACGGGTATTTTAATAAGGCCTGAAGAGGAAGAGAAAATAACAGATAGAAATCATCAAACAATAATATAACTAATTTTATCAGCAGAATCTAATATTAGACATAACACTTTAAAAAAATTGCTTTGTTTTTAGAAAACATCAAGTATGTTAATATAGGAAGTGGAGCTATAAATCAGAAGTAGGCTATAAGACAAATATGCAGGTTTAATAAAAATAATTGTAAAAGATAATGAAACATTTATTTTGAAATCTGGCAAAGTTTATGTGTCTCAAAAGTCAAAGAATGCAGCAAAGGGATTAGAAGGACACAAAAGAAAAAGAAAAAGGAAGGTATGCTGGCAGCTGATGGTAGACAGCAGGCTGTACTGTATGAACGTCTCTGTCGAGGTGTCAGATGAGGCATTAGCCTATTCCCTAATATAAAGGCTGATGGACACAGACCTGTTATAACACGTACTTAGATTAAGTATGTTTTCGGGATAGCACTCGAGTAATTCCCCCGTAACAGACTTGGATATCATTTGTACTTAAAATCTAAACACTGCAGGCCAGAGCTTTTTGGGGGTTCCAAACCACATTTTATTTTGTGAGTTATTTGGGTTATTACCACATGCACATGAAATACAACAAAGATTCATCCCTGTGAACAAATACAGCCAGTCAAACTAACCATCCCTTTCTCACCTCGCCAGGATTTGGTGAACCCAATATTTTATCCTTTTGCTTTTGTTAAGGAGCATGAAGAGCAAAACGTCATCATCACTGTGTGCGCCTAGTGACTCCCTTGCTGTCCAGTTCCGTGAAACGAAAATGAAAGAAATCTGGAGAGGTGTAACAATTTGTCCCAGACTCCATGTGGATTGTTCCTGTACAAAATCTTTTTTATGTTTTATGATTTTTTATGTTTTATGATTTCAATTTGTACCCAATGTGAAATGGCTTTAAAGTTGCACGTAATCATATTTTTAGATTTACATTGGTTCAAAGGGTAATGTAAAAAGCACAAGATAACTTTAGTAGTGACAAACCCACAGAATTATCATGTGACTGCAGTATTGCTGTGAGTGGTTTTATGGTCAGTCTCACTGTCCATAAGGAGGTAAAGGACCTCCAATAAATCCGCTGTGCACATCTGTCCAGCACCAAACAACAGACCCAGTTAGGATTTATCTGTTCACTCGCTGGTGAACATAGGGGGGCATTAAGCAGCTAAAGAGTCAGATATTTCCCACAGAAGATGGTGGAGAGTAAAGCAGAGCTAAAAGGAGAGTAGATATTTGTTGGCTGTACAAATGCACAACTCCAAATGAACACTATTTTTACTGTGTCTACTGGACACAACAAGTTCATCATACTTCACAGCTAGTTTTGCACACAAATTAATAAATGCAGCTTTAATTGTATATTTTGATAAAGTTAATGGCCAATGCGTCCACTCAGACTGAAGCATTTCCACATCCTGGGTCATGTCTATATGCTAATAGAGCCTGAAGCTGCTCATTGTGACAAGCTGTTCCTGGTCCTCAGTGTCTCTGGGCCCTACCAGTCCGGAGGGGTTAGAGAGGGGCTGTTTCAGTTCCCTGACACTGACAGAATGGGGTTGGCTCAGTGGGCCCCAGATGGATCCTCACTGCAGATCAACCGGACATCAGCTGTGAATACAGGAGAAGTAGGGAGATGGGGGGGGGGGGGGGGGGGGGGGGGTCAGGAGTCTGGGGTTTTGAAGGCTGACTCTTTTTTTTGGAGAAAAAATTGAAGAAAACTTTAGCTGTCGATATTTTTGTCAGGAAGTGGTCGAGAGAGCAAAAAGGACAGTGAATATTTAATGTTAATGTTGCAGCACATCTGCTGGATGTGTAATGTAAAATGTTTAACTCATTATCAACTTTGTAGGTTAATATGTTATTCCACTGCCCTCCACTGGCCAAAAACAAAACAAAACAGACAAACAAAATCAAGAAATCAATAAATGCAGATCTAATGTTTCAGTTTGAATGATGTGTGGCACATCATTCAAACTGAAACATTTGTGATTATAGCTGGTAATGGAAAGTACATTTTTATTATACAGGTCCCAGTTTTTTTCAGAATGATACGTACGTAGATCTTTTTCATGGCAGACATTTTGAATTGTCACAGGTGAAAGGACTGGGGGCAGCAAACACACTTTTATTGTCCACTTTGCGCATGCATTATTTCCTGTGAATACCTTCTGTGTGTTGAATCCCACTAGGGGAAAGCTGTCATACTGATATGATGAAAATGAAATAAAGGATTATAATTTTAAATAAGCAAATTTAACAACTGTCATTCCTCCAATTCATTCATGAGGTCTGGCTTTCCTTTCCTGTCCCAATCCTGACAACACAAGGTCCTCTTGTCTCAGGGGACCAATGGGATTCCTGATGAAACTGTTAGCCTCTACTTATTAAAAGTCCTGTCTAGCAAATTGTGGAATTCTTTCTCAGACTGTAAGCTTTCTGTATATATATATAAAAAAATGAATATGCAGTGAATATGACATATAACTAGACATAGAGTTCTCTAATGGCATTGGCAATGATTCAAGATGACATGCATCACCAGCTGAGCCTGTTACATGAAACAAACATCTCCGCTGACAGAAATAGTCTTGAAATTGGATTCTAACTCTGATGCTGTGCTGTTGCGTTCTTGTTATTCCGTCTGATCTGAACAACTGCTGAACTCTGAACTCGATCCTCTCAGATGTGTTTTGACAGAGACTTGACATCTGGATGATTTGAAAGTTTTTCATGTAGCCACACTCTCATTATTCCGTAAACGTTGGTGTATTATCAGGGGAGGTTATCTGGAGGTAAATATGTGACTTTATTTCTAAAAGGCTCTCTTGCTCTTTACTTCACTTTACATTTAAGATCTTGAAGTAAGTCTGCTTGTTTTGTAATATGAGGAGGATTTGGCTGAGACAAAAAGAAATCGGTCCGTCTCTACACACTCAATGTCCCAGTTGATCTATTCTCTCTCATCTCTTTTTTTCCCATCCTAAACAGCTCAGATGTTGTGCTGTAGCTCAAATCCACTGCAGGTGGTAATGAGGTGGATTGCTTTCCCCATTCAGGTTCAGATACGTGACACAAAGGTTTCTGTTCAAATGTATAAGACATGAGTGGAAAAAGGAAACGAGAATCAGGTGAGAGGCGGGAAGATTCATGTTCCTGCGCAGGATGATTATATTAATGTCAAGACAGACAGGCAGCTGCAACTGACCACTCTGATCTGCTTAAAGGTTTTGTACATGACGGCTGTTGGAACATGTCACATTGGGCCAAGAAACAAAAGGAGAGCCATCATTGTGCATCACAGCTAGATAACTACAAGGTACATGTAGAGGAAAGCCTGCAATGATGCACAGCAATATTTTTAGAATTAGGGATACAATTTCTCTTTTAGTTTTTCCTCATTATTCTGATGTTTTGTTTTGTTTTTGTGAAAAAATCAAACAATCCTGGTGAAAATCTGTGCCTTTTGTTAAAAGAACACTAGTAACACCTTTTTTTCTTTATGGTTGGGTCTTTCTGGTGGAGCAGAGGCAGATAGCAGTGGGTGGTGGTAATACAGTGACGCTCCTTCTACACTGCAGTAAATAAAAGCATAGCGCATGAGCGCAGGTCCCCCAGTCTCATAGCTTAATCAGATGTTTCCATCAGTCTTTATTTAATCTGCTATTAGTCAATACTTTGACTGTTCCCGTACTCTAATTTTGTGCCATCCAATTGATCTTAAAACCCAACCCTGTCCTCTAAAAATGACCATTATATACGACTAATTTGTTTTCCTAATTATGTTGTAATGAGAAACACAATTGCTGTCTGGATGGTGGACTACACAGGCTACGTCTTGTTTTTTGTGAGGGAAGCGCTGCATTTATGGCTCATAGGGAGGTGGTCAAGGTGGACGTACGTAAGTGCATGGAATCCCGTCTGCTGGTTAGGTTTATGCAACTGAAGCTAAGGTTTAGTTATGGTTAGGGGAAGATTGTGCTTTTAGATCACATGTTAAAAATGTCACCATGTCCCGTCTCGTGCTTCATGTCACTGTCAATATTTTCTGTATTAAACCACACAACGATCTTTCCCTAACCTTAACCCAGAGCTGCCAGTGCCTAAACATATCCATCAAAAAGTTTAATGCTTTGAGTTGCTGTTGTATTTTATTTTGAGAATAGACAATGTAGAAATTGAAAAAATGAAACAAATAATTTCTGACATGTCAGTGTCAACATTTTGTGACTGGTCAGATACAACACTTCCACATAACATTGATAGAAAATGTGAGCTGGACATCAATTAAGACAGCTCTCATGCCTATCAGCTAAATGCCTTCATCAGAGCTCTATGATGAAATAGGCAATGTGACGATGTGCTTTCTCTCAACTTAACAGGCTTGTTGCTGTGCTCCAAAGCAGTCAAACTGTGCATTTGGCCATGAAAATAGATCACTGATTACAGAAAATCATTCTGCTGTGTAAATACACAAATCTGATTTGATCATTTGTCAATAGAAATATGGATGCTGGCTTTACAAATG